GGGCGGGGGGGGAAAATCAGTAAGCATTAAAATAACTTTTACTATAGATTCAACACCCACATTTCAATCTTTTTGGACATCACTTTTCAACAATAAACACCATGTCACAGTATGCACTACAGAATTTCCCATCCAACCAACTTCTCTTTATTCTGCTGTTTTAAAGAAAACATACTATAATTGATTCATTTTAAGTGTTGCCTCTAAGCAGACATGCAGCAATTATCAGGTATCTTGGTAAACTTTACAGAATTAACAGCAACAGCAAAAGTATTTACATATGCATCCTTTAAATCCTCGTGACTTCTAGGAACTAGATTGCAGAAGTCTGTTCTACAAGTAATACAGATATACCCTAGGGCATAACCAGAAGATACACAAAACAAAGTATTAGCCTTTCCTTTTAATAGTGTGACACTGAGAAATGGACAAGTAAACAGAGCAACTAGCAGACACAACTATCTCAAGTTATCCACATGCCTTCTGACTGTCATGCTACCTGATGCAATTTTCACAGCAAACGAGTGGGTGGAAGTCAGGAAGAGGTGCTTTCATTACAGTCTTGAGTGTCCCATCCAATGCTGCTGGTTTTTTTGTTTGTGGTTTTCTTTTTTTTGGGGGAGCGGGGGGGTGGAGGTGGGGTTGGGTTGTTTGTTTGTTTGGGGATTTTAAGATAATTAACTTTATATTCACTTATGGATATCTTGGGTAAACTATGGAAAGATTCTTTCCCACCACCCCAACCCCCCAAACTGATGTTTTTGTTTTAAAAATCAAGTAAACTTCTTGTAGTTAATCTTAGTTTTGTTAGGAAGCAGCCAAAATCAATTTTAAGACTATCTACACTGTGATAGCATAATTTCTTTTTTCAACGTTTTCAGGTTTTTTAAAATAAACACCAGAGAAAAGAAAAGGCTACAGACTAAGAAAAATTAAATGCTTTATCTCTTTTCAGACCTGCTCTTAAAACAGGGTCAGGAAACATAACAATCAGGTTAATATAATAAGTCAGTGTTCAAATTCTTGCATATGCCCAAGCATGGATACATGGCTACATACTATTTTCAGCAGATGGAAAAAGGGGAAACCACACCCTTTAAAAATATAGGAGAAAAAACATTATGCTTCTATGACAACATTTATACAGCGGCATACTCATTCTTAATTCAAATTCTAATGCCTGTGTTTTAATTAAACACGGGGTAGGAACAACTTGAAAAGACGACAGACAAACATTGAAAGATGTACAACCTACCTTTTCCCATGCAGACATGACAATCCATAATGAAAAAAAACCCAAACCCAGTCTTTAAACCAGACCAAAACCCATACTTTACTGTTACACTGGATTTCAGCCAAACAAGAACTGACAGCAGTGCAAATGAAAGAATATGGATTCAATGCTCTTGCTACAATGCATCCTGCTCTAGTGACAGATCACCTGGACTCGCAGCTTGCAAAATTGCCCTCCCCCCGCCCCCGTAAATTTCAAATACATTACTTTCAAAAATGTGAGTTTATAGATATTGGCTCTGCATTAATTTATAATTCAGAATTCATTTATATTTCTTAAGCATCAGCTTGATGTGGTTTGTATATTTACTTTGAAGAAAAAGAAACCAGAGATTTTCACTGATGCAGCAATACCATTTTAAAGTAAAAATGACGCCCTGCTGCTTCTTGTATTAGCTTTGATTAGAATCCAGCTTTTAACCTATGGTTTTCCTTCTAGACTAAAAGATTGTGTTTTGAAATAAGTTGTCTCAGCATCATCTCCAGCACGTTCCAAACAATACCCCAACGCCACTGCTTCATCACCAAAAGCACTTGGGCCTTAGTAGAAGAGAGAACCAGCAAGGAAACAAATGTGAAACCTGTCAACAGATTTATCTTAGTCAATTCAACTTCTCCTAAGGGAGAAGTTTATCAAAATCTGGAGATTCTGTTCATGCTTATCTCCATTACATTTATTCCCTTCATGCTTCATATTGTGCCTCAAATATCCTCAGGCAATTACATGGGTGAAAACTGACACGACTCCTGATCTACAACTAGTATTTTAAAACAAAAAATAGTCATACATCCAGTGGAAATTATAGGCCTGATGGTGCATTGGAGTCTTTCCCATGAACTCTCCTTGTCACGTAACTGTCAAAAAATCTTTTTCTGTCTTTGTTCCTCAGGAGCATATTACTTCTCCCAAAGTAATACCACATCAGCTCCACAAATACGAAAAATGATTTTCTTTCTCAAGAACATTTTATTAGGAACAGTTCCACTTCAAACATTTATCTTGGATTCTGCTTTTGTTTCTTGAAGGGATACAGCCTTATAACCTGACCAGTTTTTGCAGCCATCACATTTTAACAGATAGACTTTCCCTCCAGTTTTAAACTAAGCAAAAGAAAAATGTATCACATAGATATTTCCCAGAAGAGCCTTTAATAAGACCTATTAACATAACCCATGATCATACATACTCCCTGTGAAATTAGAAGTTGAATACAACTTACTTATCTCTTAATATCACACCTTCTATACAGGCACCAAACAAAACTATACAGGAGAGATCTATTACTGAGACTGAAGGAAGATTACACTATAAATAATACATAGAGAGAGAAAAACCACCATTTTTCACCTAGGGATGAAATGAAATGTCCATGATAATGAAGTGGAGATTTTTTGTTGTTTTGTTTGTTCCAGTTGTTTTTTTGTTCTGGTTGTTTTGTGTGGGGTTTTTTTTGGTTTTGTGGTTTTTTGTTTTGTTTTAATTCTTCTCTGCTACAACTTTTTAGTTTATGTTCTCTACGACTGCATTTGATGCACAGTTGATTTGTGAAGTATTAGAAGTAGCCAGTTCATGCATCATGCAACAGAACAGGTATTTTCTCATACAAATAAGCATTTGTGTCTTCTAGAACAATTTCTATTGCTGGTAGTTTGCTTTAAGATTTTCACTGGTCATGCTGGATATAACAACAAAGCAATCTGCCAACTGAAGCATGATGCTAAAAACTTAACTAAAACCATCAATTATATCTTGGAATTTGAAGCACTAGTAGAATATAGAACATATATATAAAAGTATTTATATACACAAATAAAATTTGATATATTTTAAATAATATTTATAAATAATATTTACGTTTTAGACAAATACAAAATATTTCTTTTCAGTTTAGATTTCATTCATTTTATACTCAGGCAACTAATGAATTTTCAATGAAAAAACTATACTGTTATACCTACAGAATGCGCACTAGAAAAAAAAGAGTCACAGCATAAAGGATACAAATAAAAGATGTAGTTGAAATAGCCAAAATTGTTCCAGTAGGAATAGATTTCTGAGCATCCTTAAGATCTCCAGATCTGTTTGAACCTGCCATAATACCTTAAAAAGAGACCAAATTTATATGTCATAAAAATAATTACTACTAACTCCATGTAAATAACTAATAGAATAGGAACATTTAACTTCAAGCCTGATTTAACACATCATTAGCAATGGAGCAGAATGTATTATAATCCTGCACAAATCCTCAATTTATACCTTCATTTTATTCACAGATTTGTGTAACCACCCATTGTTGACTGAACAAATTCCAGACAGGTCAGGAAAGAAACATATGAAAAAATTATTTTTCAAATACAACTTCAGAATTGTTTTTAAAATGGGGAAAATATAAAGGAGTAGCAAAATGTTGGGGATGAATGTTATAAACTAATGGGGATTTAGCAATTTTAGCCAGTGTGACCAAATGCACTAACTTTCTACTAAACAGACCATACAAAATAAGATATGCAAGCAAATCAATAAACTAAATAATAAAAATATAGAAACAAAAAAGAAAGGAGCAGGCAGGAAGTACAAGAAGAATGGTTAGGAAATCACATGTACACATCCCAGTTCGAATCTAACAGGAGAACAAAAAAATATTTTCTAGCACATGCTGTGACAGGAGGGAGAAAATCATACAGTAACTAATTCTGCCATCTTTCCTAGAATTGCCCTGACCAGTGTTGGAAGCAAAAACATGGAAGCTAATATCAAGATGTTCCAGTGCAAAAGCATTGTCAAACTCCATGCAGTGAAACCCTACCCACAGGCTCAGATATGATGAGATGTTGATAAAAGAGCCTGAAGTAGTGAAATGGGAATAATGTGGGACAAGAATACGAAGGGACACCTCCGCCTGGCGTTCTACCAGCAAACACTGCTGCAACTTCGTATCACAGCTCTGTTCTGTTACTTGATATTACAATTGCTTCAGCTGGGACTTTTGAAGAAAAATATCTCAGGTTATTTCAGTCAAATGTGACCTGAGGAAAATGATATACAAACTAAGCTAATCATCAAGCTTGACAAATAGTCTCTACTAGTTACAGTTGCAAAAAAAATTGGACATTTAAACAAGTCACAGGCAGTTTACAGCTTGAATACCTGAAACAATTATCTTAATATTCAACTGTTCTTTCATTCATTTGAGGATTAAAATATTATAAAGGTATGCATCGTATTTTGAATAAGCATTTAGTAACACACAGAGCTTTTGTTTTCTTTCCAGACATAGAAAATGGCACTTAAATGGATTCCTTGTTTAAGTCCTATAACCCCCTAAAATAACCAGCCACCAGCTATGTCCCTCTAGCACCAGAAAGTTTTAGGTACATAAAACTTGGACACACAGACTAGCAATATCATGTGTCATCAATAAACGTTCACACACACACAAAATAATCTTTTTTCAGCTCATGAGTACACACGCTCACTCAAAAATAGTTGTATCTACCTGTCACAGATGGGAAATAAATCCCTACAAGCATTGTGAAGTAGGTCATGATGTCTGTAAAAACATAAGGGAGTCCACCCATTTTTGTCTCTTCTGATCCAGCAACTGATGGCTGACCTTTTTTCTCAACTATTGATCCTTTTTCTGAATAGGTACTCCACAGATTATCTACGAGGGGGGAAAAAAAACCAAGAGCCAGTATCATCTCTGTTTCAGGACATTAAGTAGTAAGAATGCAATAATCTTATGAATCAGATCGCTTTTTCTTACACAAAAATTATGATGTTTCCCAACATTTCCTTATAAAGCCAAGAATGCAGCAGCAATACAATCAATACCAACTGTAACTGTTGGACATTCCCCCTCTATGCCAGTAGAAATGCAGTAGTGTATGGGAGGCATCACACAAGATTTTCTCTTCCATTAAAGAAAGATTTAGTTATAGAATTAAATTCCAGTATATTTGTAGAATGTCCACTTACATTGCATGGATGTATGGACGTATTATCAGGAATTGTGAAAAAATAAGGAAACTATTATCTCCAGGTTCAGGCAATCTTAGCATATGTCCATATTTCTTGTTCTTATATTTTGAGGAGCAGGTCAAAAAAGAAATGCTAGTTAGCAGTAACTTGAGTTCTTTGAGACCTGCTGTACAGAATAACCCTGGAACAACAGTTCAGGACTCAGCTGTTCATGGTGAAGGTATTCCACACAGTGACAAAAGCAGAGTAACCAGACTTCAGAAGACAACTGATAAGCAAAAAAAACCAAAGCAAGCAAAAATCAGCAAAACGTGGCTCAAATTCCCCAACATACTAAGGATACTTCTTCGATGAAGATCGACAGGTCAAAAACCAGTAGCTTTTGAGAGCTTACATTTGTGGAAACACTGGTTGTGCCCCTTAACAAGATGGTGAGAACATCCAACACCGATTCTTATTTTAAAATGAGACAAGTTGTCCTATCACATGTGAGGAAACAAAGTAGATACTCTCCCTCCCTGTCAAAGAGTCAAAGATTTTACACCACAGAAGTGAACAATTCCCATGGACTGCCAGGATGATGGATCCGATAGCGAATTTTTAGCCATTCAGTACAACTTATGGGAATTCTTAAGTATTAAGAATTAAGTATTCTAAGCCTTCAAAATAGCAAAACGTTAACTTGAGCACAATAGGAGATGGACTCTGAATCTCCATAAGTGGCCAAAGATAGGGTACTCATATCCAGATTTGTAACAGAAATCGTACAATTGGTAAGCATATATGGAAACATGCATGAGAAACATAAGAGACAGCAGAACAAAGATTAAAAGGAAAGTAAGTATTAACTGCTACAGAATGCTATGTGTGTTAGTTAATTCAAATGAAGAAGAATAACAAACTGATCTAGAGATAAGACCGAAGCCACAAAAAGAAGAGTTAAGGAAACAAGAGAATTGTAAGTTTCAGGAATTTTAGCAAAGATTTGAGTGACATAAAATAAGACAAGATCTCCAAATTAGTATCCACTCCCTATGGAGCATAAAAAGAAAGTCCAAAAATCAGTTTGTCATTGCCTATCAAAAGCACTAAATACTTAATGAGAACTCAACAGCCTGTGTCCTTTATTCAGTATGACACAGAATTGACAATGGCCTGAGCACTCCAGTGCATTTCATTGTGGAAGTGTGCATGCCAGCACGAGTGGGTAAAGTCAGCTTAGAGATTTTATAAAACATAAATCACTTTCCCCTTTCATAAGATGTCACACAGAGCTTTGTTACACTAATTTTCCTATGCTCATTTTCCCAAAAGTGATAATCCAAGTGGACTTGAAAGTTAGGGTGAGGAAAAAGGGTCACTTTTCAGAAGAGTCCACACATTTGTAGGGAGATAGGTTTCCCTTCTAGGGCCATTCATGGGTTGCTGAGGCTCCTCTAACAACATTTAGGGACACATAAACAAGACCTGGTACCATGTATCTAACCCAAAAACATGCTACCATGAAGCAGGATGATGTTGATGAAAGCTATTTCCAGAATTATTTCATTATTGTTAGGGCCACAATCATGGGCATGTTTGGTCAGCTATTTGTAGAATGATTTATTATTGTTAGGACAACATTCATGGAAGGCGTACAAGAGATGCATACTTACTGTATACAAGTGCCCAGTAAATGGTGTGAGGACTCAGCACACGCTTCCTGAGACACCCAGGCATGATATCTGAGTATTCGCAACTCAAGAAACTTACATGTGCAGAGTCTGCAGCTGCAAAGTCTTCACACAAAGCAGAACATATGCCACCAGTGAAGGAAAACCCTCCTTGAGAAATCTTTGCCAGTCAAGTTCAAGCTTACATTAGGTATCAGAATGTGTGCTCACACTCAGTAAGCAGGACAGGTGATCCATTTAATTTAGTCTTAGCATTACGTGACACTAGGATAGTGAAATGCACTTTTATACAGTAGTGCTAGTTCAAAGAAATGTTAATCAGTGAACAGAACCAGAGCACATTTTTTCAAAAGCAGAAAAATTGGTACTCAGCCTGAAACCTCCAAGACCTGAGATGCTAACTATGAGTTTACCTGAAATCTTGCTACCCAAGGACTGAAAAATGACAAACATAAGGCCAACTTTTTAAAAGAGTTTCAGAGAGATCCAGAAACTAAAGGCTCCCAAGTAGCATCTGCACATGAACAGTTGATAGCAACAATAGCAATAGATAGAGCAGTAAACACATGGGTGTTACCTTTGAGTTCTGACAAAACCAGCATCTATTCACAGTTTTTTCTTGAGTTTTGAGAAACTGGGGAAGTCTTAGCACAGCTTTTGTAAATGAAAGTTGTCAGAAATATTTAAGTTCCATGGGGGAAACATAAATGAAGGCAATCCACTTAATTCAGTCCACCTGGATTTCCCACATTTTTGAAAGATTCCTTACCCAAGGAATCTATAGTAGCCATGGGATAAGAGAAAAACTCCTCACATGGATAAAAAATGGTTCAAAGATAGAAAACAACAGGTAAGAGTAAATGTAAATACAGTTTTATAATGCAGGAAAGCCACCAGGAAGCTTCCACAAGGATCAGTAGCAGGATATAACCAGTGCTTTCTAGAACACTCAGCCTGGAAAAAGGAGCTAGTAGCAAGATGAGAAAGCTTACTGGTAATACAATGAACATTGGAAGGCGTATCCCTCACACTGATCTTTCAGCAGACCCTCAATGGTTGTTAGAGATATTAGATTTACGTGACAGTAGAATAGTGAAATGCACTTTTATACGGTAGTGCTAGTTCAAAGAAATGTTAAATCAGTGAACAGAACCAAAGCACATTTTTCCAAAAGCAGAAAAATTAGTACTCAGCTTGAAACCTCCAAAAGCAAAACAGCAGTTTAAAGCTTACACTGTAGCAAAAAAATTAGAACATACAGTTGTCTTCTGAGCTGATGCAGGAAATTTTAAAAAATATTTAGTAAAAACTGTAGATATGCGTGTGGTAATTACAAAATGCATAGAACAAACCCTAAGTCATGTTTCTTGTAACAAACATTTCAATCAAAAAGAATTTCATTTTTCATTGAGGAAATTGAGTGATTTTTTTTAAACATACAAATTTAGATTCAGAGAAGCCTATGCTTCATTTAGTATCTTTTTATGTATTTGTACACTTCATATTTGATATTTTAAACTGAATTACTATGGCAGTATGATTGCCTAGTGTCCCTATGTAGAGCTGCATATTTATACAAATCAAACCTTATTTTAAGGGGAAGCAGGGGAGAGGTATCAGAACACCCATTTCATCCCCAGAAACATTCTTTGTTTGTATACAATACAATCCATTACGTGTGAATGAATCTTATGACCCAGTGCAACTGGAATCCCAAGCTGCCAGAACTGTACAGGAATGTAAACAGAAGAAAGTCTATACACTTTGTAGAACATCTCCTGTCCAAATGCTAGACTAGAAGCTAGAAAGACTGCTTTTCTCCAAACCTATCACTAACTTGCTGTATCACATTGGACAAGCCACAGGACTTCATTCCTTAATGCACCACCTGTAAATTGGAAACAAGTTCTCCCTCAGGAGAGTTTGAGAATGTATTAATGAAAAGCTTATTGAAATAAGTGTATCTGGCATACAAAAGAGCTAAACACTTTAAAAAAAAAATCAGCTGTGATAAACACTTTCCTACTTCATTTTTTTGATAGAACAATGGCTTTTGAAAGAGTGCCTATAAAACTCCAATGACCCCTAAATTAAAGCATTTTATACCAAGCTTCTAAAACCAGATGGAAACCTTATAGGAAGAAGCATGCTCCAGGTAGCAATTTTTCACACAAACAGATTAGAGCTAAAGAAGCAGTGACAGGCTAGACCACTACATTACTGAACAGCTACAGGCCAAATTAATAATGTCAAAAAATTGTTAAATCACAGTGCTTTCCAACTTACCAGTTAGAACTCCACTCATTATTCCTGGAATTCCTTGAATTTCTGTTACATTATTGAGACTAAAGTAGTCATCACATGTAGCATTAAGCAAAGAACTATCACAGAATAGGCGCCACAAGGTTGTAGTCTTTGTTTCATTATTGCTTTCAGTAAATTTGGCACAGACATCAAAGCTGCGTTTTGACAATGTACGGTTTCCAAGGAGACAGATACTATAAAGAAAAAAATAAAAACAGTGATCCTTCAATATAGTGGTGTGCATTTTTTGACCATTAGACTTCTTCAGAAACCTGTTATTTATAGTACCTATCTTATGGCCTATACTACAGCCACTGAAACAGTATATGGTCTCTGCATATAAAACTATCATAAATAATCTTTAAAACACCAATCAAACACTTCTACTTTAAGGTATTAATAGCTATTTTGCCTTCTAATTTATTCCTTGGAAAATACAATCAACTCAAGCAGCTTGGCCACTAAGTAACAGAGATCATGACTCATTCAGTGCTACAAGAAAGAAGTGAAATTAAGTGATACTTAAAATAACAATGAGCCTGACCAGGAAAATACAAAACTAAGATTAAGCAAGTATGTCATGCCCTTTTCTAGCAAATAAATATTTCAGATGGCCCTCAAAAATATTAAAATCCAAAAGGTAGGAAATAAGCCAGAAGGGTTAAACAGCAAAATTTAAAAACATTGATGGGAGTACAAATTAAAGAATCACATAGCGGGGAGCAATTAAAACACTCAGAAATGAAAGAAAATTAGAAAACTCTGAACAGTTTGCAAAAAGCAAATTCCTAACAGCAAACAATGTTAAGGATCTAGGAACATTTCTTTGTTAAGCTACAGAAAAGATGTTTAGGAGATATGTATTCCAGGCTTGCTTAATAATGAAGTGATATATAATATCTATGAAGATGAAAGAAGGAACATCAAATAAAACATTCGTGTTCAACAGGTAAGTCAAAGGACACATAGTACACATCTAATACTTCTGAAGGAGCTCAGTTAAGCAGCTGACAACAAACAGTAAAAACGTACCACTTAGCATTAGAACAAGTATACTAAGCCAAGCAGAATATTGACCTAGTGCAATATCTTGTTTCTGATAGCAATTAAGAGTAGATGCCTCGAGAACAGTACAGGACACCAGTACGGCTTCAGGAAATGGCATCACATGGAAGTTGAGCAGATTTAACAGAAAGCTACTTCTAAAAAGATCTTGCCACTTGCCTTGCTCATTTTTCTTTTTAATTGCTATTGATTTGGTGACCCTATAGCAGAAAGGTGAGTTGATTCAACCCATGGAAACTTCTTCCAGTTTGATTCAACTGGGAGATCATGAGGTAAACTATTTTTACTATCTATACAATGGCCAAACCTAACAGAGGTTAGCGATGCCAACCTAACCAGCTAAGTGGAAGCTGATCTTTCTACAGACCAGCTCACCACATTAGCTTTACCATAATATAAAGCCACACTTGAGTTTCTCATTTTGAGGCAGACTGGCCAAAATATGAACAATTATATTTATTGGAAGATAACCTTTCTTTATTCCCCTCCCCCCCAACAATAATATATCACAGCAGCAGCCACAGATGAGGTTTCCAGGAACTTGGTAATAAGTCTTACCTATGCTACATATCCAGATAAACCCTCTTTTACCTACATAGATGACTAAAAGATTTAAGTATTTCCCTACCGGAAGTTACAGTTTTTAGAAATTCAAGTTTTCTTCAGAAAAATTTCAATTTTGAACACATTTATTTTTTCAATAGAAGACTTGATATCATTTTACAATACAGTCCACAAATACCAGCAATTTAACACTCAATTTGCAACCATCAACATTTCAAAGTATTATGGAATCTGTAACTATCATACAGCAAAGGATAACTTCAGTCCTGCATAACAGATGGTACTTCATAACAAAAGTTACCAGGCTATTCTGCTAATGTTAAGCAGTATCATTTCGTTGTCTCTCCAAATAGAAAAAGATGCCCAAAAAAGCAACTCACATACTGGTAACTGGACAAAAGAAATAATTCTTAGTGAGCTAAGAGAGGTACAAGCTAAAAGGTGTTCAAAAGCAATATGCCATGTGTGACATTTGATTTTATTAATAAGAAGGTAGAAAGCCTCCACAAACACAAGTGAATTTAACACTGCAATGTCTCCATTTTAAGTAGGGAGAAGTGGAAGTTTCAAGAATTTCCTCATGACGAAGAAAGTTTGAAAGTATGTTTCTTTCATAACTATGGTTCATAGCTACAATGCTTTCTTGAATTTTTTACTTTATTCTATAGATTTTTAGTTGAATTCTTTAGATAAAGCAGCTATGTTTACTGTCAGCAAAAACCACCTTCCTGTTCTTTAGGTGTTGATGGAAAAACAGCCAGTAACTTTAAGTACCAAAGAATATTTTCCAGAGTGTCATGTCTTATGAATGATGAGAGAAAGACTCAGATAGGTAACTCAGAATAACAAACGAGCACATAATTGCCTAAAACACATAAAACCCACAACTGAAGGCAATGCGCTTGTATTTTGAAGTTTAGCTTAAAACGTGAAATGTAGCTATTCCCTCCCCTGACTTTTTTTTTTTTTAAATAACCCACACTACCTAAAGATATTCACTTACGGAAAGTCAGGTGGGTCAAAAGCAGTCTTAATAACTCCAGCATATATGGCAATGATGGAAAGAATCACACAGGCAAGGAAGACCAGTGCAAGTTTGTTGACATACTTTACTCCCACAAAAACTACTATGGCCATCAGAATGATAATACATGTTCCATAAACTCTCATGTTGTTCAGCATAGCCTCTGGTTCTTCGCCAACCTCTTCTGCTTTAAATATAGCAGCGCTTGGAGAAATGTAGGTCTGCAAGAGATACGGCAAACTATCATACATGTAATAACAAACATTTTATTAAGAAATCATTTACTTAAATTTCAAAATTTAAACTTCTATTACAAGATCAGTTTTATTCTTTCACAAACCAGTTCAACCAGATGACATGGGCATTTAGAAAGTGCAGAGGTAAAAGGAAGGGGGAGGCAGGGATGAAGAAAAACGAGTTTTGAGAATGAGGTACTGCTTTTGATCCAGCTTCTTCGCTCCTTTTAAAAAGTTTCTGCTCCTCAAATTCATGTCTCTGCCAGACAGGAAAAACCACTAAGGACCTGGGTCTGTGTGTGTGCATGTGCGCGCTATTGACAAAAATTAAAAGAAAAAACCAAAACCAAAAACTAGCTCAAACACTCAACTCAAATCAGTTATATCCTCAGATTCATTTGAAGCATTTGCTGATTAATAATTCCATTAATTGAAACAAAATATGAAGAGTCAAACAAAAGCATAATAAAAAACTAAAAATGTTTTCAGTACTATAGCCTCTGCACTGTATTTCATAAAATTTGAACAAAGATACTTTAAACATCATACCTTGAGAAATGTTTTATCGTGAGTTTACCTTAATTTTTAATCTGAAGTTGCAACAGCACAATTTAAGATTAGTGTGACAAAGCTTAGTCCTGTGCTAAAACAGACAATTTAAACTACTGTAATTTCAAACAGGATTCTTACAGATCTCAATTTCATATAATTTTGTTCTAGGTTCTACCTGAAAAGAAGTTGGAAGCACAGCTTATAGGACTTATACTGAAAAATGCAAATGAAAAGACAAACTCTGATCTATAGTTATGAGACATTTGTGTACTACACTAGATGATAAAGATATCTTTATTCCTTCTTCTAACACCTTTACAAAAAAATCTCTGCTCAGCTGTTAGGGGAGTATTGGGGCTTGAGGCAACTCCACTCCTTTAAAACAACTGCTAAACTGACTATCCTTGAATAATTAACTAGTAAAGGCAAGAATAAACTTTGAGCAGGAGACTATCCTGATATGTTCAGAACCAAAATCCAAAAATAGACATAGGCAATTTTTTACTAGTATTTTCTTTAAATTTAATTAATTAAATTAATTTTATATTAAATTTAAATCTAGTAAATTAATATTTACTAGAATGCTAGAAGAGATGAAAATTGTCATATCACTATGAAAAAAACAAAAAAACAAAATGAAAAACTGATTACAGGTAGAGTATTTACATACTGTTATTAGAAAATCCTACATAGTGATGTTGCACAAGTATCAGGCTTTGTATGGAAGTACTCCAAAAAGTCTTCTTGTATGCTTCGTTGCCCTGCTGTTCACAGCCTTTGCTGGGAAAAGCCACAGGCAGACGACTGATTTCTGCCCCTCCAAATAATCCATGTCCCAGTGGAAGAAAAAAACAAACAAAAAAATCAATACTTGTGCCTTGTGGCTATGACAGGGGTCTGTTCTGAGGTCTTCTGCCAGATATGACATCCTGGGAGGCTTTTTACTTTGAATTCCATAACTGAACCCCATACATGTTTATTAGCAATACATAAAACCAGCATGACTTTTAAGCAGGGAGAACAGTGCACCAAATCCAATCCACAATGTGACACATCCACACAGTGTTGTTAATATAGATCAGATCTCACAAGCTAGCAGTAATGAGTGAGGACTATCTCTGATTTCAAATCCAGGCTTTTTTGAATTTATGACATGGGTCATAGTAAATAGCAAGAAGGAAGAATTCTGAAGTACCTCCTGTGCATATCTGCACAGTCTCTGATATGATGACGAATAACTGTCTAGCCCCTCCTGGATGAGGCAAAGCCACAGTATTTGGGCCATTGCCACACAGGCAGTCTTCCACAGCATCTTTACAGGAATATGAAATTTCAAAGCCAGTAGTCTGAAAAGGAGGAAGTGGGATAGATTCTTAATTCCTGCCTCACAGGAGATACGCCCTTCACGTCCTCCGAAACCTTTCATTGGGCAGCAGCTTTCCCCAGTGCACGTGGCAGTGCCAAGCACTGTAGAAGCCGAAAAGTTTCTGTGACTTATCCTGGGAATGCTCATCTGATGCCAAGCCCACAGATTTTCATTTGCAAGGAGAGGAGCCCTCCTAGACCTTAAGAAAACATGGCTTAAAAGGACTTATACCATACTGACCTAGCGTAAGCAGCTCTTCCAACAGAAATGTAGAGCCCCTAGGTGTGTTGACTGCTTACTATAAAGTAGTTGCCAGATTTAAAATCTTATAGTCATGATCTCAGACTAGAACAGTAAAATGGAAAATTAATTCCAGTAGATACAAAGTAAGTGGAAGCTCCCCTGAAGAGCTCACTAAAGGATTCAGGGCTCAAAGGCATATATCTTGTTTCATTTTTCCCAGGCTGTATATTGAGAAGTTACAGCAAGAAGACAAAAAAAAAAAAGTTAAGACAAAGGATGAGTAATACCATGAAATCCACATTCTTGTTAAAACTCGAGAGTCACAAGTAAAGGAACCAAAACCTTCTTGTGTTAGATGAATAAGACTTCATTCAGAGTTGAAAAGGGAGACTCCAAAGCAAAAAAGATAAACTGACTCTCAAGATGGAATCTTTAGCTTTTCAATTCCAAGTCTAAGATGACCTAAAGGAAGTGCTATGTGCCTCTGCACACTTTTGTTTGGAAAAGGAGAGGAGGACATACAACACAAAAGCAGCGTAATATATGGATCAAACTTTTTGCAAGTTTGCTGTGGTGCACCATGAACATATGCAGACAAACATTTAAAGAAGAAATTAATTCCTTCACATCTGTAAATAAACTATTTTTTTAAACTAAAATAACTGATTTAGCATCACTAAATCCAAATGACATCTCAGAGCCCCTAAAAATAGGCATTGTCAACTATGATTTAATCTGCAATCTAATGTGACATTTCACTAAGGACTGCACTGTTTCTTGTGGCATTTTTTTGTCGCTTTTGATACAAAAGTTGTAGTTTTAAATTGGTACAAAAATCACTGAATTAAATCTTAACATGTCTCCAAAGTCTACCTGTTGATCCGATGTTCTTTTCTGCAAAATCTACTGAAATATTTCCTATTTATTTTTCATGTCCAGTTTATATCTCCAGTTTGGTCCTATACCTTTAGTTTTGGAATTTTAGGTATGTCTTACTAAAATTAATATAGTTTTCCTTGCAACTCTGTAAGTGTACAGTAGCACAGGCATAATTTATGGGACATTTGATATTCGGAACATGTTATGAAAAGGTGACAACAGATATATTGCATCTGGTACAAATTAGGAAGTGTCAGTTACCGAATTCTGTTTAGTTCCTACTTTAAGTAGAACAAACTTACATCAAACAGCCTTTAATTTATTTTTATATTGCTGATCAGAATTTTTTTGTCTTTTTCAAATAATCACAAGTAGAGTAAGAATAAATATTGACATACTGGAAATATAGTATCAAAAAATTAAAAATCACCAAACTAGAATGCATTTTAGGCCAAATGCATTCCTCAGCAGTCTCCCGGAACAGCCCAAATACATTTAGTCTTAAGAGAAACTAGTACTTACCAATAAAATTTCAATGGTACCAAGAATGTACATTGCTCCTGCAAAGGTGGTACCCAAGTAGAAACAAAGTCCCACTGCTCCACCAAACTCTGGCCCTAAAGATCTTGAAATCATGTAGTAAGAGCCTCCAGCTGTGAATTTAACAAAAAAAAAAAAAAAAAAAAAGACTCCAGACCTTCAGATTAAGGACAGCAGTAGAGAACAAAAATTTGAACTGGTCAATCAACATAATCAAGATAACTACTGCATGCGTCTCCATTGAAATGTTTATACCAAAACTGTATTCATTGTTTATACCAACTAGGCAGTAAGAATGTACATTTCAAAGTGAGTATCCCCATGCACATTTTCTGGGGAACAGAAAGTAAACACCAAGGAAAAAAATGGAAAAAATCCACAAGCTAAACAATCTAAAAGTAAACTAATAAAAGGATATGAGGATATGCAGGTACAAATAGATGTGAATCAATCTTTAGTTTCTAACCTCAAGCTGTTCACTATCAAACAATAAACTTCCAGAATAATTTATGACATAAGGACAAAATAGAATTTGTCTCACTAATATGCATTCTTTTTCTTTTCTGTACATGAAACCACTACAGGCATTTTTTTCAGTACCATTTAAAAGTGTTAGTAAGGGATTGCTTTTTCTTGTCTACTCATATAGTAATTACTTCGCCCCTGAATTTTTCAATTCTTCTCACTCATATTTCCCATATACATGCATCATCTTTCTTTAACTCATAAGCTTACTCCCCCGCCATTTGCACCGTACTGTTTCCCTTTCAATAAGGCTCTAAGTTTCAAGCTCTTTATCTCGACTTCCCCCCAACCCCGTCAAGGCATGCTCCTTTCTGGTTCCCTCTCCATCTTCTCTTAAATTCATGATTTTTGTCCCACTCATGACAACTGAGGAAGAAAGAGGAGACAAAGGAAGAAAGTGCTTTATTTTAAATAAACATACACCAGTCTTGTATAAAATTAGTCTGCAAATAAGAAATATACTTATAATCAAAGCACAGAGTCTAAAACTGCTTTTCAAAATGAACAAATGAGAAACTAACAAGAAAATTTATGATGCATCACCAATCCTTTTACTAAATATAATGCTGTTGTATGTAATGGCAAGAGACAAGATCCTGCTGTTCAGAGGGTCTCTTGCAAGCCAAGGTTCCTATCTGTGCTTTCTGCCTCCTCCATATATTCCAGCAGAAGCAGCATTTCTCTAAGAAACTGGCACCAACAAAAAAAGTGAAAATGAAGACCTGTCTAGTGTAAGAACTGCCAACTTCAAAGATTTCTGTGATGCTCAGATGTTAAGCAAAACCTTTACAACGAACTTCAAAAATATGAGGGAGAAAAGAGCAGAACATTTTAGTTATCTGAACACTGGTTAGAATAACTACATTTCATTATAAAATATAAGTATTTGAAACAAAACTTTCTATTGTATTTATATTTCATACATAGTATGAAATATCCATGAGATGATATTGTTCTACACCCTGCATAAGTTGCTGTGTTTACTTTTGCCCAACAACTTACACATCAGTTCTGGAACCCCTTACTAAGCTGGAGAAGCTCTGCAAGTGAGAAATTATTTTTACTTCATTAGGTAAACTGTTCAGAGTTCATAACAATGTCTGAACACCAGTATTACCAATTAATGTGTTGAGAAAATGAAAAGGGTAAAAGCTTCAAAGGCTAACTGATTTTCCATCTAAAAAAAAAACGGTTTCATAATTGAAGAGGAACAAGTTCATCTATTCATCCTGAAAATTTAAGATGAGCATAACCTAGAGTGCTTATATAGAAAAAGATTTCTGCCAGCAGACTGGCTGTTATTCTTACAGAAAACAACATAACTAGGCTCCAGTGTTTAGAAATGGAGTCTAGGCAAATTCAGGCAAAAAAAAAAAAAGCAGCCTTATTTGTAAATTTGTAAAGAAATCTGCTTTGCATAAAGAAAAGTCTCCATTACTTCAAATCATAACATCTTATCTTCATTCAAACAGAATCAAATGATTAATGACAAAAATGTGCTACAGTTCATAATTCCCAGAAGGTCCAGTTGAAAGACTGTATCTCACCTTAAAAACTCATTTATAAATCAGTTAAGAAATACGCACTTGACACAAAAGCTTTACTTCTGATATCTCAGACTACGGTAATTTCTTATCCCAGCTTTAAACTTCCATTATTTGACCATTCAACATTTAAGATAAAATTTTTCATTACCTGGAACTACACCATTTGTTGCTATTGCACTCATTGAAATGGCAGTTAGCATAGTCTGTGGAAAGATGAAATAGAGGAAATTTAAAATATTGAAAGTTTTTTGAAAAATGGGGCAAGACAAAGTGATCAAATGAAACTAGGAATTTTTTTTTTTTAATAAGATGTTTCAGCAACCAAAAATGTTATCTTTGGTTAGGGATATCCATGTAAATTAAGTACTAAATTTTTCAGTAGAAGATTCAGTTAATTTAGATGTTTGAGACAGTCTTTAAAAAAGAACTGGAAGAATACAGACCACTGAATATACTTAAAATAAGATGTTTGTTATTCCAATTAAATAGTAGTGACAAAGGGATCAAGTGTCATTGTTATGACAGTATCATCTACTAGTGTTCTCACATTCCAAAATATTAATTCATAGACATAATGCTGAGGATTGATTTGTAGTTTGTATTTCAGTTTATTCTGAAGCTGTGAAAAGCAGAACAGTTCAGATGTCAATGTAAATCATAAAATATTTGCTAAAAGCTGATTTAATAAAATCCATATAAGGGATTTCAAACAAAAGCTTATGTGATCAACTCAAAAGAAACTCCATACAGGCTAGAATGACACGTGACAGTCAGTGCATATATATCCCATGTCTCTCCATTGCACTGATACTTAACCATTATGGAGAAATCTTTCTCTGCTACTCACATATTAGAAGGCAGCAGTACTCTTACAACAGAAGATTTGGCCAATAGTAAAGAAAGAGGTTAACTTACACAAGCACAACACATGAACACGATGATGAAAGACTCGAGAACTCCAGCTGTTCCCACAATCCACGTTAAACGTAGGAAAAGGATGACTCCCAAGATGTTTTGCAAGCAGGGCAGGTACACACCAATAAAAGTGCCCATACGTGGAACCTGGAAATGAAGTCAGAACTTTAATTCCTTTGCACTAAACAATGTAAGTCCATAAGGACTTTCTTCTACAAAAACTTATATTACAAATGCTCCATGAACAAACGCCAAGTGAAATTGAATGGTAGCTTCAGAGTGTCCAGCTTTGCAAGTATTCATAAGCTACTTATGCAGAAAGATTCCTGAAAAGACAGAAAACTATTTGTGATAGCAAACCCTATTGTTCCATAGGCATTAGGATGAAACCTTGATAGGGGTAGGATGCCCCTTTATCCGTTGATTACAAAGCTTTACACTTTCTTCTGAAATACTAGTTACAGACTAACGTTGAAGTTACTTCCATAACCAAAATACCAAATATATTCTGCAAAAAGTTGATCACCAATTGCCCTGCAGCTGGCCCACAAAATGATATTCAACAGTAAGTGTTTTCCATTTTTAAAAAAAGATAAGACAAGGTATTATGACAAGGCCAGAAAAAATGCAGAGCTGACTACAACTTGTTTTTGCAGAAGTTGTAAAACCTGCCACAACATAGTATATTTGTTTGTACTTTTTATTTCCTGGTGATCATCATGGGTCAAAACATTCAGGCTTCATCATTAAAGTTCCAGCCTTCTACACTTAACAAAGAAATCAGGCCTTGAAGTACTCAACTTAGAAGCAATAGTTATACGCAGCAGGTTTCCAGATACAGAAGCTCTTCTTAAATCACAACTCAGGCTGTGAAAAAAGGCAATCTATTTAAATAAATAAGTAAGCATTGGTGCTTTATAAGTTAACAAAATTATTAAGAAAACACTAAGTTTCTAAGTACTTACAAGAAATCATGGAATGCCATTTAGACTATAATCTTTATTTTTAGCGTCTTGGGCAATATCCATGTGCAACATTAGCACTACTGTCTCAGTTATGCCATTAAAAATGCTACTCTGCCAGGCTACTACTTAACCATCACTTAATTTCAGACATGGAAGTGAAAAAAGACACATGCACAGAAAGCGTGTTTTCAAGCCACCAGGTGGTGCTCAAACGAGATTAAGTGCAAGTGAGGACACGGTGTTGATTTGGCTAGTCAGTTCCAGAGGGACTAACACCATGCTTTATTAACAAAAACCTCTACACAGCAGCTGTACGGACAACAGGGATCACACTAAGGAAAGTGTGATTTGATCAGTGTTGGTTTTCTCATATCTCAAGCTGTATCTTCAGATGAGAAGAAACAAACACAGAACAAGCACAAGACAAACAAAAAGTAACCCCCCCACACAAACAAATGCAGGATAAGCAAAAAGCTAAAAAAAACAGCTGGACTTTATTGCTTGCCCTTGCCGATTGTCCTGGTACCAACTTCCCACGCTAGCCAAGTCCTAAAGCAAACAGTTCTATTGCAAATATTCAGGTACCATACCATAAATCTCTCTTCCAGTCAAATAAGCTCCAGTTCTAACCTTACTTTCAAGCACTTTTCATATCTGTCTCTTCTGCTATATGCTCATTTCCTTTCATTCATTCTTATGTGCTTCTCCTCCTTTCTCAATAGCTCAGCAAACTCAGTAGCAGCACCCCTTCTCCTACACATAGACAAGTGACTACCAGTACTGTCTTTTTCCCAGTACCTACCCTAAATTTCTTAGCTTCAGTCACTATGCTCAACCAGTTCCAGCTCATCATCCCTCCTTGCCTGGGAATTTTTGTACTTTGTCAGGTCACATGTTTTTGATCCAAGCTTTCTCCTTCTGCAACAGCTCCCTGCTCACAGAGGGATCAATCCGAGGTCTCATTGCAGACTCTGACTGTTGCATACGTTCCATTTCTACAGAGGCCTAAATAGGTACTTTGGGTATCCAGTAGACAACCCCTGAAGAATTCAGTTGCTTTTTGAGGTATGCAACAAAATGTTTCCTTGGGATGTGTCCATTAAGTTTTAAAAATACTTACTGCAACACACAGAAACAAGAGAGCTACTCAGAAAAACTGCTACCATGTTAACAGCAGCAAATACGCTTATGGATTTGAAAGAGTGACCTGCTTCATCTGAAGTTTTCCTTAAATTTCAACTTTAGGTAAAAACCCAGCCAATTAAAATGTATTAATAAACTAGCCAAAAAAAAAAAAAAAATCATACTGTATCCTCACTAGAGGTAGACGAGAGGTACTGATGCTCATAAAAGGACAGAAGGAAGAAGAAAGGAAGAGGAAACTGGGTGCGTGTTTCAGGTCCTAGCTTTGCACGCATTTTATCCATGGCTTTTACAGCAAGGTCTTGCTAAAACATGCTAACAAGAACACTGAATTAATACAAGTCCTACTGCAAATGCTTCAATTTTAAATACAATATTACAAATCTCACTCCTGTTTTTAGGCATCCACATATTTTCTTTTTAGGTTGAAAAATGTTCCTCTTTGTGGCTAGCTTTGTCTCAATAACTTATTAGAAGTTTAAATACCTTGACTTCCTTTCGCTTGCTGTCTTCATCTGCTTCATGTTCCACCACACCTTGAGTCAGATTAGTGTAGTTTGCTAGTTTATTAAGAAGAGATGACACCATGGGATTACTATCCATTTCTTCCTGTTGGGATTTTAAGAATACTGCATTTATTAAATAGGTTTTTTTTAAAGTAATGATTTTATGGTACTACTTCAAGCACATACTCAACAGGTCAGCCCCAATTCACCCAAATCCAAAAATCAGCATGACAAAATACCAGTCAGCTTTCAACCAACAAGAGTTCTAAATCTTTCTAGAAGTTTAACACTACATGGCTATCTTGCAATATTTCTTTAACTTCTTTACACTATCTTACAATATGCAGCTTGTACAGATGGAATATAAGGGAAATTTAGAGAAGGACCATTGTGAATTATAAAAATCTATTCCTATCACAATACAGTTTTTAGGGGATTGAACTGGCAGGGTTGAGTCATTAGGGTTTTTTTCCTGCATCTTGCTTGTGTCTAGAGAGTGGCCTCAAATGATTCTCTCAAGCACCAAGATACTTAAGGATCACTCTCAAGCCTACTGTTGCAGGCTTACATATTTTATCTTAAACCATGCATACTACTTCCAAAGTATTCATTTGTTGAAAATGCAGGCACATATGCATATCATATGTAATATTACTTGACACAGAAGTCAGCCCATCTTTCTTCAGCCAAATATCTGCTACAAAACAAAATCACGCTAAAACAAATAATAAAATCCCGGAGAAGTATATACAATAAAAGGATTCCAAGAAAAGCAGAACCAGAGAATTCAATCAAGTATGCAAGATCAAATATTGGAAGGAAGACAAGAGATCAGGATTGCAAACAGAAAGACAAGAACTAAGGCATCTCTGCCTGAAGCATTAGGTCACGATAATCATGGTTATAATAGCCAAACTTCTTTGTAACAGTTTATACAAAAATTGAAAACACAAGTCAACTGAAAACATGAGAATAATAAGATTGTAGGAAACATACTATGAAACACATATACTACCAAAACAGATTCGCCGTTATAACAGCCAGGTGATGAAGTCACCAGAAAGCTTTCAAGGCAAAACAGTAACAGCATGGTCTATAATCTGAGATATGTAAAAGATAGTCATCATAAGTCAGCTGAGGATTTAATGCCGGCCACTATTCAAAATAACTGATGCAAGTACATATTCAAAGGAGAGTAGGGACAAAAAGCAGCTATGGCCAATTTATCAACACTGAGGTATACAACAGCTAATTTGAACAACAGGAAGTTTTGGACATTGCTTTATGGAATAGAGCTTGAAGGAGAGAAATTCAGTGACAAAAATCCACTACCATGGTTTCTGTCAAAAAAAAAAGTAAGAAATTCCATACATGACAGAGACAAAATTAATGACAAACATTACTTTGAGCCTTAGCACAGTCTTCTCTAAGACTTAGTGAAAAATAGTAAAAATACATTATCTGGGTCATGCAGAAAGAGAAAACTGAAAGATCATGTCCTCTGTGCAAAGATATTTGAAAGGAAGAGAGGAGCGTAAGAGGATGACAAGAAAATAGTAGATAGAATGCAACAGCAAGATGGCTAAGCAAACAATGTTGAAAGGACCTTGTTTATTGTTAACAGCAAGCATCAAAGCAAGATCAGTTGATGCTGCTAGAGCAGAACTTAGGTTAAACTTTACTAGAAGTACTATTTCATTGCAGAAGTGGCACTTAAATGTACCATATAAATATCCTTTTTTTTCTGTAAATAATTGCAATCGTTCAGTGAATTAAATGGGTATTAAACTTGCATTATAAAATAGATATTTATATTAGAAAGTAGAAATAGGTATGGTATGCTCTACACTGTAATTGGACAATATAACTAAGTTATGGCCTATCACAGTTTGGTTTATAGTTTTGCTGCTTTAAGAGAAGTCTGTATTTCCCCTATTCAACATAATATATTTGCTAATCCTTTTAAAACTGGATACTGTTTTGTTAAAACCACTAGATTTAACTTTCAGCGGCTTTCTCTAACAACATTTTCTAGATCCTAGCCCAAAAATTTTAAATGCAAGAAGGCTTATCTTCACATCAATGTGTACCAAAATTTACTGTTCTTGCCTATACAGATAAAGTAAAATATAGAAGGAGAAGAAAAAAAAATTCTTAGCACTTTTTTTTATTACATCATTCAAATCCACTGAAATGGAATGTTAGCAGGAACCAAGCTACTGAAAAGTCATCAAAATTGATTTTCCCCCCCCACCAAATTTCAAGAGAGAAAGAAAACAGAGGTTTGCTTGTTTTCATCTTACTACCAGAGCCTCAATCAAAGGTGAAATACGTTTTTGGGGTATTTAACTTACCTCAAAGAGAGCCATATTCTTTCCTTCATACATGTTTCCTCTGTCCATCTCTGCACTGTTAATAAATGGACTACTTTCCCTGGCAATCCCATCCCCTGGTGGAAAAGTACAACAATTAGAAACAAAAGGAAAAAAGAAAAGACAAGATATACCATAAAAGGAATAGTCAGAAGATGCTGGTCTAAGAACCACTGGAGGTGGCTACCAAACACTGCGTTTTCGTCCCAGACATGTGGACTCAATGTCCACATTTAAGGAAATTAAGCTTACTTTAACAGTCTATCTTTTATAGTGTTTTGCCTCTTAACTATTACTTATTATTCTTTAGTACAGATACTGATCTCTCCCTTCTCCCCTGCCCCATCTTTCTAGTTTACTTAAAACACTTGATAATAGAACTTCACATAAACCCTCTGGGCAACAACAAAAAAACCCAACCTACCTTGTCATCACTTTACTCATTCCCTCAAAAAACCTCCAGTAGTTGAGGCAGGAATTTATGAAAAAACAATGTAAAAGTAATTATTTTGTAAAGGTTGTGGGGACTCTTTCATGATATGCTATATTTATTCTATTCCTATTGAAATATCAATCTCATTAAGCTGTAGCTCCCCTGACCTCCTCTGGCACACCCCTCAAAAAATATAGCATCACTGTCACTGCCTTCCAGCCCATGCAATACAAAAGCTATTACATGCAGATACTGTCACAGCATTTCCAAATAGTCTCAAGTCCTTGTCTATGCCACTTTGCCTGTCTGCGCTTTTGCCCTTATATTCACAAGTTACAGCAATAGCACCTATATAGTGTCTTCACTACAGAATTAAGGAACCACTGGAGAACGAGTTATACTCTTTTCCCTGTGTCCTCCATTCTGCCCCCTCCAGGACACTTCTCCTCACATGAAGTCCCAGAACAAAGCTCTTGCAAACATGGACACCAGTCTCAGCGCAAAGTATTATCTTGGTTGTAAATAAAGACAGAAAAAGAAATCAGTCCCTCAAGCAGATGAGTAACTACATCCCTGACGGACTTCCTACCACTCTCCATAGCTCCCTTGTCCAATAGACTCTCCATAGCATCACTATACTTATTGGTATTATGACATAGAAGCCGCATACTATCATAAGAGGCTTAGAAGATATCTATTGTCCATTAGGGCTCTAGAATTAATTCCATGACCCAGAAAAGAACTGTTGATGAATTCATCATACAACTACTGTTCTTATCCAATGTATCTCCTTCTATTCATATACTCCAGCTTTCATTTTTCTGTTTCTCTACAGTTTATAATTGGTCCCCCATTGCTTCAAGTCCTACTTGAAGGACTAGGTCCCCCTCCTCCAACAATGCTTAATGCAAGCACAGCAGAAGGAGTACTGTGAACACAAAACAATCTCCCTCATGGACCAGCACCTTGAGATGTTTCACAGTGCATGGAACACGCTGGTTTGGCACAAGATTGTCTGAGAAATTGGCATTCATCCTTTAATCAGCTCCATCGCACTTAGATAAAGGTTCAGTTAGCCTTTCCATAGACAACAAAAAGCAACTCTGTCCCCAAGCAAATACATGCTGATTCCTCTCATCATCTTGCTAAAGCGTACAAGTACTAGAACTTCTTAGTTAAGACATTGCACTTTCTTCCCAAGATTTTTGGAACATTGTTTTTCTTTTAGCTCCATTCCTTGAAATATCCACGTTATTTTTGTTAAAGCTTTTACAAAGCATTCAATACAAGGCACATTCCCAAATTAAAGTAAAAATAAGGTTGCTTGATATTGGTCTTGCTAAGACCACACTTCTATTTACTTCCTCACCTGTTGACAGCTGGTAGCTGTACTTATTAGCTAAATATTAGTACTCCCTTCAGGGTACTTCCAATTCCATCAGAAATTATTACTCTTCAAAAAGTGAGCTGGGGAATTTCAAGTATTGTTTTGTGTTCATACAGAGTGTAATGTCACTGGAGTTACTACTTCAGTGGGTATCATTAGACTAATCAAAACATCAAAAGGGTACGTAAACGAATAATGCGAATCAGTATTCACAATTCTGAGGTTAAAGAATATAGTTTTGTCTTACCAGTTCTGGAGGTAAGAATCAGCATCTCAGCACTGTACATTAAGTATTTGAAATTGTAGGTAGGAGAATAGTGAAGTCTTCCTTTACATGGTTGTATTTCTAAACAAAGTTACTTGGCTTTGCTCCAATAGAAAAAAGCTCAGAGCACATCTCTAAAAAGCAAGTCTTGTCAAATGCACCTAACAGACTTCAAATGGAAAAAACAAAGAACTTAGGTTTCCTATTCTTCAAATCCTTTTTCAGTGTTTCCAACCAATATTCTACCTGTTTTAAAGCTTTCTAATGCTAGTCTTCAAAATAGCCTGTCACTACCAGCCTCCTGTTTCTTTAATACAGTTGTCTCTCTTCGTATTTTGTCAATGTTTGATACAGCATTTTTATAGTATTTGACATGATCAGCATTATCTACTTTAGCTCTATTTGAAAGAGGATCAATGCTGAAAAAGTGACCACAAAAATGTACTGACAAGTACTCTCTCATCTGCAGTTTGTTGACTAATCCTACAATTATGAACACCTTAGAACAAGCTCCTTTGCGCTTTCAGCATTGCTGTCAACAAAATCATATTGCCTGTAAATTAAAAAACACCACCTTTGGGAGTATGCTTATTTAATATGCTTAGAAATACAGTGAGACTTACAAACATGTAAGTCAAATTGAGATGTATTACACCATCCAGTAGAAAGAACTAGTTTTTGGACCTCAACACACAGTCAACAACTATGGTGAGGTTAACGAAATAAGCCACTATCTCAATCTTTAGCTTCAAAAGAAGGGATTCATTGGAAAACCAGAACTAAAAAAAAAAGACAGGATTTACACTTTTCACAGATGCTGTAAATATCACCTCTGGTGCATCAAGTGGAATGGAGCAAATAGAAAAAACTATTTCAGTTGCTTGCACTGAGGTAACATGGAATATAGAAATAGGTACTTCATTCCACTAGTATGTCTCAAGCCATTTACAGCTTTATGTTATAACCCTATTCCCTTGAATTCTATGAGGAAGCTTAAAGATAATCAAATCATAGAATCATTTAGGTTGGAAAAGACCCTTAAGATCACAGTCCAACCATTAACCTAACACTACCAAGTTCACCACTAAACCATGTCTCTAAGCACCACATCTACACGTCTTTTAAATACCTCCAGAGATGGGTGACTCAACCACTTCCCTGGGCAGCCTGTTCCGATGCTTGATAAGCAAATCACCTTCCCCTCAGGCTTCTTTGAAATTACGTCAACTCAATCTCTTCTCAGGTGTGGAGGCGAGTTAAACATACAATAAAAATGGTAACTTCCAATGTAGTTTTAGACATTCCTCTAAGCTGCACATCTTCTGGAATCCAATTAAAGCTTCTGCAATTAAAGCACTTCAAAAATCTATACTTACTGTTGCTTGATTTCTGAAAGTAATTCAAGTTATGAGGATTTACAGGCAAAAATCTTAAATCTGGACTAGATTAGTAGTCCATCTGAGCCAGTATTTCATCTTGGACCACCACAGGTATTAAAAGATCCATAAGAAATGCAAAATAAAACAACAACAAAAAAAATCTTATATGGGCTCGATTATGGTATAATGTTTCCTCTGTCTTATGACATACAAAAAACCACGTGTTTATGTGACACTCCATTCCACCCAACATAAGGTTATCAAAGCCTAAGCTCTAGAAATAAATCTTTTCCCCCCTTCAAATATATACTTTTAAAATTTTATTATTACTGTTTTTAATCTGCTATGGAATGTTCAAATACCATAGCACAACTCTGTGCTTACTGATGGGCCAGTAGACAAACTAAAGCCGTAACTAACGTACCTTTCCTAGAAGCCTGTCTGGAATTTTCTGTGTTGATGGGACATGCAAAAATTCCATCTCTTGACTTCTACAGATAGTCAAGCACTGTGATGGGTTTATCTATATTTACATAGAAATCAGCTGCAACAAATTACATTTTCTTTTCTACACGAGATATACAGCTACAAGCAGAGAAGGTAGGAGACATGTCTCAAGTTTGGGAGGTAATATCCAGAGTGTTCATGAAGATGATCACAATGTACACTGCCATACATCCCAGCCCCCCAATTGCTGATGCAGTGTAACCCACACAAGTTATCACAAACCGTCCCAGAGTTGTGCTAGCCTCAGTTTTAGAACTGCCAATGCCATCAGATGATTTCTCGTTAATATTTCCACACACCAAATAAAACTTTTGTCAGAAATATGTCTGCATATCACAATTCAAAGTGTTGGTCATAGAGGCAAAAGACAGCACTTTGTTCAAATTCATATTTCTCAGAAGTTTCAGAGCAGTGTTCCTCAAACACTGACAGGTAGAATACTTTAAGGTATGTTATCAGTTAAAGATTTCTAAGCTGATCCAAACTGGTCCATTTTAAACAGTGTAAGACATAACCCAACAGTATAGCTTAAACAGGCAGAAGCCACCTTTGCCACCAAAGAGGTGGCCCTCTCATTCCCCTTTCACACTTACTACTACTATTGTATCACACTGTTCCTCACACAAACAGAACTATTTATTATAAATGCAACAGTGGTATGTGCTTAATGCTGTTTTGCTTTTGTTTTTATTCTTGCTGCTATTTTTAATCTAGATGAGTTTGTGTTCACTAGAGACACCATCAGTGTAGGAATGAGCAATCAGTGTAAGCAAAACCACTTCCTTAGCTTTGATACCAATATTACTAAATCACAGAACTACAGTAGTTGGTTTTCCCCCTTCCCTGCCCGAATCAAAAGAGGTAGATTATAAAAAAAAGGTGTTACTGGTGTCTTGTCTTAGAGAAAGTGGCAGAGCAGGGCTTGGAGTAGAAGGAGGAAATGATCATTTAAGTGATCCTAAATTTGCACTAGGATGCCTGTTCAAGAGATTAAGGACAAAAATATTAGACCATCTAATCTGATTTCCTGTCTTTCCACAAGTTGCAGAATTTCATTTCTGCATTAGGCTCTCTAACTTTGAAAAAACATACTGAGATTTGACCAGTGTATCTCTTCATGTTTTCAGAGCTGAAATAAGAAAAAAGCCTATCAATTTATCTTCATAAAGATTAAGGTTTTTTTAATTACTGGAAAAATCTCAAAAAAATTGTTCCTTTTTTCTATTTAAATTTGTGTCTTTTCAAACTTCTAGCTACAACATCCTAGTACACCTTCCAAATTTAACCACTCGCACTTAGTATTTTCTATCTGTGAAGGTAACTATACTTACCAAATCATCTCAAGCTTCCTTTTGAAAAACTGAAAGAGTTAAGTTCATAAAACATTCTCTTAACCTTTAATAATTTTTGTGGCAACATTCTCTCCAGTTTTTAAGTTATGCAAAAAATATTTCAAACTTTAAAAATCAAATACAGCCTTCTAACATCAGTCTCAATCATGCTATTTACGGAAGTATAATCATCACCTCTCTACTCCAAGGATCAGGCTAGCCCTCTTTACCACAGCATTAAACCAATCTCATGCTATTCTATTCCAGTCTGACCCCCAAATCCTTTCCAGATTCACTGCTTCCTCGCTATGCCATATTATGTGTGTCATTATTGTTCACATTCAAGAAATGTTCCTATTTGCCTTTGTATTCAAACATATTTTGTCCAAAAAAGCAAGCATCTATGTCTCCAGGCATGCTGTAAGAGTTTAATATCTACCTGACAAATAAAAGTAGATTCTTTTTATATGGCAAAATAATACAGGTGGTGTTCAAAGCAGTGAGAATGATCTAAAACTTTTGAACCACATGGCCTCAAATAAGATAGCTTGGCTATGATAAGGTATAGCTGTTCTTTAAACAAGTATATGTGTAAAACTAGAAAGTTTTGCTTCCCACCAGAAATTTCTAACTTTATATGCTGCTGCCTAAAGCAGAATGCAGTTGAAGAATAATACTTAACAGAAAAGTCCTAACCTTTCACAGTTTCCAAAGGGTAACTCTCAATCACAGTCCACATACCTTGAAGTAGGTTCCAGTTAGCCAGATACAGGTGAAAAATAACAGGTTTTAATAAAAA